CCTACAACATTTTATATAATTGATAAAACGTAATTTAAATAAATTCATTTTTTTTAAATTTATAATAATTATAATTTTTTAAATGTAATAATTTATGGAATAGTTCATCTTAATCCTTCTAGTAAATTATATATATGTTATTATAATGAAATTTTATATTCATGCGCTGAAACATTACTTATAATAATAAACCCAAATAAAAATTATTAATTAAATTTTTAAATATTTACTAAAGTTTTTTTTTTTTTCCAAAACTTTCGTACCGTTGCACAGAAAGTGTAACTCTTAATTATGTTTTCACCTTTTTTACGTATAAAGATACATGCTTTAAGTCTTGACTAAGAATACTTAATCCCAAAACTTAAAAAAAAAAATATCTAAAAGAAATATATAACAAGAACTTTATTTTTCTATGAAATTCTTTCTTTTCTATTTATACTTCCTCAACCATTATATTTACATTTATTTAGGCTCATAACTTTTCACATGAGTTAAGTTTTAATCAGTAAATCATGTAATACAAACATTGTGGGTCTCCATTATTTTTTCGAAATTCCTCGGCAAATATTTGTTCTAGTCATTCATTTTTATGAAAAATGTAGACAATGTAAATCAAAAAAGAAAAAAAAAGCAGTTTTGAATGCATTTTTGCTTGAAATGACAATCTGTGGCGTGTTTATTTAATGTTTCATAACGCTAGCTCAGCAATAAATATTCTGCGAAATTTTAATTTATACCATTCTCTGTTTGCTTAGGAAAATTGAATTTCAAAATAGCACAGATGCTTGTAAGTACTTTTATAATTCGAATTTGTTCTTGTTTCGTTATTTTATATTTTGCAGTTTGCATATTATAAAAACATAACTCAGTTTTGCATAAATTTTATCAGATTAAGTTATATTTTTTAGAATTAAAGTATTCAAAATGTTTCAGTTATTCATAAGTAAAATAAACTAATAAAAGCATCAGATACGTTTTGCTTACTAAACTTTCATATATATAAATTGAAAATAAATTAAGTTATTCAAATGAAAATTCCATTGTTACATTTGTATACTTATTTTAAAATTATAGCAATAATTCCAACTATTTCTTATTCATTACTTATTGATATTTATAAATGTATTCTATCAATTAAATTATAATCAGATAGCACATTGCATTTAATTTGTAACGCATTATTTAGCAGTTTTAAAATAACTGGTAATAATAAATATTAAAATATATATGTCACATCCGTGTTTTTATGTTACAATTTTTTCAAATTCAACTAAGACACGTAATTTTAAACATTGAGCATTTTTCGACATTAAATCTAAGAATCCTAGATCTTTTGAACTAAAAAAATGAGGAAAATAAAAAATAGCAAGTAAAATGCTTAGGTTTCAGCTATAATTTAGTTGACTATAGTTTAAAATTCAAAATTTGTAAAAAAAATGTAAATAAAATTGTTAAACGTGATTGCTTAACACGGTTATAATCTAAAAATGTACATAAATGTGTTTTTCTTACACTATTATTAAAATGTATTTCATCTTCCCTATTTCAATGGAATAAATGTCTTCGAAGATTTATTAAAATATGCAGAGAGAGAGAAAGAGGAAAAGAGAGATCAAACTCGGTTTAGTGCTTTTTTTTGGGGTGCTTGCTTTCGTTGCGTGTACACCAAGAATTTTACGATTAGTTACTAGATTTAGTCACTTGATTGCAGCACATCTCTGTTTGAAAGCTTTAAACATTATATTGACATCTATAAAAACTTTAAATCAACTGAATAGTTTTTATGTGTATATGAATAACGACAATAAATGCATCAACGTGAGTGAACTAATTTTGCAATTCATATGCATTACTTAAAATGTTAAATGCAATAATTTACATTCTTCTCCAATGTTTGAAGTATTTCATATCAGACCTTAAAAAGAAAACTCTAAAGCGGTTTTCTTAATGAAAACAGTGATCTATTTTTGACAAAAATTAACAAATAAGCTCCATGCAAACAATTTAGTTAAGCTTTTGATTTTTAGTCACATTTTGCCAAATCAGATTGCTTGATTATAAAAATTAGCGTTTATTGACAGTAATAAACCCAATTATTGAATGAAAAACTTTAAGGTATCCGACTACTTGCGACATTTTTTTGAAAAAATGGAGATATGGGGATTTTTTTTTTTTATTTTTAAATTTATTTAGTATATTTTAAGAAAAAAATTCTAAAATTGAAAACAGAAAAAAAAATTATAGCTATTAAAATGGGGAAAAAACTGGTGAAAATGTACATAAACGGGGCCCGTTCTGTACAAAAATTTTATGAACAAATTCTCAATTTTTCAAATTTGATGTGTTTCTTTGTTGTTCATGTTTGAAGTGATCTTCAGGATAAGAGATATTTTAATTTTTACAAAAACTAGAGCACTTTATCTTAGTGATTACACGAAATTGATTAAAAAAAACATTGACTATATCCACATAAAGGACTACAAATTTTGAAATAAAACAGTGATTGAGATAAATTTGAAGGTCAAAACACTTCTACTGTTATACAGAACATATGCAAAAAATTTCAGCAAATTATTTTCAAAACTTTTTGAACAATCGCAGTCCCCGTTTGAGCTTTTCGAAAAAAACACATTTCGAGTAAAACGCATTTTAAAGTTTCACATCTTGTGTAAAGTTATGGCATCTGCTTTTACTAAAACGCTTGTAGTTTTCGTTCTAGTGAAGGGAAAATAAAAGAATTGGTAATGTTATAAAGCTAATAAGATGGCCTATAAAATAAAATCATAAAAAAATTTGTGAATTTTTGAAAAAACTCATGATTTTAGGATAGTTAGATACCTTAAAAGAAAGTTTTTTTTAGAAATGTTTTGTGTGTTATATTTACTTAATTTAAGTTTCGTTATGACATAGTCAAACATTCGAGAGTAATGAGTTAATTTCACGTATTCTAACTTTTCCTCAAGGGTAAAATATTTCAGTAAATTGTTTGATTTGAGAGTTTCTTTATGTGAAAGAACCGTGACGCATGGAAATGAATCTTACTAATTAAAAGTAAGGGAAACGAGTACAGGGAAGAAAATATCATCGAATCACGGATGGTGTTAGTTGAATTATATCTGTGTAAGATATATTTTGGAATACCATCGTATCTTGGCATACAGTTGCAGCTTTATTATCTTGTCCAGAGCTTTTCAAGTTTTCTAAGCCCTAACATCCATCTGACTTTAAGTGAAATGTTTTGTTATTATTAACTAGGGCTAGCTCGCTTCCATTAGCTAGTTGCAGATACATTAGATTTTGAATCAACCGAAATAGAAGTTGTTGCGTTTTCTTCCTTCGGTTGATCCCCACACTAGCATGAAAGGTTTACCATAATGCGAGTTTTTCAGTAACTATATTATTTTCTCTTTGTCTAGATATAGAAAAGTAAGATATATAGTCACTGCAAATGATTGAGGAATTTTGCATAGAAAGAAAGAATTTTGAAAGGTACTAAATATTATTAGAAAAATGAACATT